TGGAAGCTGCTTGTGGTGCGCCGAGTCCAGCCACAGCCCCACAGAGAGCTGACACTCATGCCAGCACCTGGAGCTGCCTGCCCCACAGCAGCAGCCAGCATGTCTATGCAGTGGCTGAATCCCATGCTTGCTCACACACCCCTTGCTGCTCCACGCCTGCCTCACAGTCTCCCTTAGAGGTGTGGGATCTGGGCTGGTAGTGTGAGCTCAGCACAACGTGCTAGGCCATTCTAGCACAGATCTGAGCATTGCCTCCTGTCTCCTTGCCAGTTGACTTGGTATAAAGCTTTTTTTTTTCCTCCAAAGAGGGAACCATAATGTTGGCTTCTGCGGGTGTCATAAAGTAAGCCTATTGCTCAGTAACAAACATATCTTTCCATTTTTTAGTTTTTCTTTTTACTTTTTTTTTCTTTTTTTTTTTTTTTTTTTGAGACGGAGTCTCACTCTGTCGCCCAGCCTGGAGTGCGGTGGCGCGATCTCGGCTCACTGCAAGCTCCGCCTCCCGGGTTCACACTCTCCTGCCTCAGCCTCCCGAGTAGCTGGGACTACAGGCGCCCGCCACCTCGCCCGGCTAGTTTTTTGTATGTTTAGTAGAGACGGGGTTTCACCGTGTTAGCCAAGATGCTCTCAATCTCCTGACTTCGTGATTCACCCGCCTCGGCCTCCCAAAGTGCTGGGATTACAGGTGTGAGCCACCGCGCCTGGCCGAGGTGGGTCAAGTTTTTATGGCATTTCCAGCTAGACCCAGATGATGCCAATACAGCTGGCCTGCCAGGCTGGTGATGGTAACAATCAGAATTTAAAGCTTTTTGCATTGCATGTGCCAAGGCAATTTTGGCTCTGTATTTACCTGCAACAACTTAAGAAATGGTTAATTTGTTTGAGCTGGTCCCACAGTTACAGGTACCCCCCTTTTTGTGCACTCCTCAATCTTGAGGGAAGTGGGGTGATGACCATTCTAGCTACTTCATGCTTCCAAGGCGCGCAGGTCTGAGTACCAAGAATGCATGAGTGGGGCTACTGACATACAAGATAGCTCTGCTCCATCTGTACATTGACAAGAAGGAAAACGAATCCCAACATACATACAACTATAGTTCCTAACTTAATTAGACCCTCAGAAATAGATCTTATCCGTGATGGCATTAACAGAGGCCTGCTTGGCATCTTGAGTGAGCTGTTTCCTTCAGCTGCCATCTGCTTCTGGCCCTCTAGTTTGATCAGGCAGAGGCTGGTTTTAGACTCTAAAAGGAATGAAAATATGGATAAATGGCTTTTCCTTTATCTGGAGATCCAAGAGCCCTTGCACTTTTTTTTTTTTTTTTTTTCCTGAAAAGTACCTGAAGATCAGTTAGGGGTTCACAAGTGTATTCCTGGGTGGAGAAATTAGTTGTGGGCTTCTACAGCCATTTGGGGTTTGGATGACTTGGCCCTACTGCTTCCTGTTGTCTGTGGTAAGTGTGACCTGTGTAATGAGGGGCTGAGGAGAGTTTTAAATATTATCAGATACTACTTTTTTATTGGAGATGGGGTCTTGCTCTGTCACCCAGGCTGGAGTGCAGTGGACAGGAACAATCTTTACTGGTGATTGATGAACCCAGGGCTTGACTCCTTTTAACTTTATGAATGAATGGGTTACCAGGAGAACTTCAGAAGGGTCCATTCCATTTGGGCTGTATTTGGTCCTCAGGGTTGTGATATTTTTGCAATGCACTGCCAGCTTCTGTCTGTTAATAACTTCTCAATATTTATGCTTGCATAATCTTAAGTTTTGTCTGAGGTTTCTTTTCAAACCATACATTCATCAATTTTGTTATCTTTATGCTGTTTAATAAATAGAAAATTTTCCTTCTTTTAATTCCTCTGGAATTGTGTTTTCAGCTTTACTAAAGGTATATCTGACAATTTAAAATTGTGTCTAGGGAGTGGCTAGAGTGGCAGCTGGGCAGCAAGACTAACTCTGGATCCACCAGGCCAGGTGTTGTGTGCAGAGGCTGGGGCAGCCCAGTCCCCAGCACACCAGCACTGTTTTGTGATGTTGCACATTTATGGTGACTCTGAGTGTGGTAGCAGATTTCTGCCAGGCTGAGCACAGCATTTTCACCGACAAATGAGCTTTGAGGTTCTACGTGCTGTCATCAACACTGCCTTGAAAACTCGAGATACCAAGACTGGCCTCAGAAATAGATACCTTTTTAAAAAATTGCAAGTGTATTTCTTTTTCTTTTTCTTTTTTTTTTTTTTTTTTTTTGAGACGGAGTCTCGCTCTGTCGCCCAGGCTGGAGTGCAGTGGCCGGATCTCAGCTCACTGCAAGCTCCGCCTCCCGGGTTCATGCCATTCTCCTGCCTCAGCCTCCCGAGTAACTGGGACTACAGGCGCCCGCCACCTCGCCCAGCTAGTTTTTTGTATTTTTTAGTAGAGACGGGGTTTCACCATGTTAGCCAGGATGGTCTCAATCTCCTGATCTCATGATCCACCCGTCTCGGCCTCCCAAAGTGCTGGGATTGCAGGCTTGAGCCACCGGGCCTGGCCGCAAGTATATTTCTTTTAGCGATTCCAGTAAAATTAAGCATCAAGTAAGCACAAGTGGAAAGTGACCTACACTTTTAACTTGAACTGAAGGTAATAAGGGCTGCTTAAGCTTTGTATGTCGTTGGATTTTTTGGAGTCCGGAGGTGTCCATTTGCAGAAATTGAGGCCTAAATTGAGGTTGGATTCCAGTGGGTTCTGAATAATTCTGCTTATCTTGAAGATAGTAGCTTCATAAGGAATAGACAAGTTAAGTCGAAAAAAACACTGATCAATAATAGGCAGTCTAGTGATCTAAAAATAAAAGATTAAAAAGTTTTCTGCTGTGAAACATTTCAAGATTTATTAATTTTTTTTCACTTTCCCCATTACACACATGCTCACACTTTTTCTTTGCCAAAATGGACTGACTGTCCAGCCCCTGTGGAGATCTACAGGAACATGCATTTTCTCATAACCCACAAGTCTACCAGTGCCACTGCAACAGGTTCGCAGAGGAATGTGAGAAGTGTGGAGTGACACTTTTGGTTTGAGTTTGTGATGCTACATTTGGTAAAGCTCCAGTTGAAAAACAAGGAATCCACATTTTAGATTGGTCATTTGACGATGAAGCTCCACCACCTAATCAGATAGCAGATGATTGGCTAAACCTGTTAAACACCAAATGGCATGAAAAGCCAGATTGCTGCATGGCAGTGCATTGTGTTGTGGGATTGGGAAGGGCACCTGTGCTGGTGGCACTTGCTTTGACTGAATATGGAATTAAGCATGAAGATGCAGTTCAGTTTATAAGACAAAAAAGAAGGGGAGCATTCAATTCCAAACAGCTGCTTTACTTGGAGAAATGCCAACCTAAGATGCAATTACACTTCAGAGATACCGGTGGGCATTGCCATGTTCAGTAGAAATGTAAATGAAGGCCGGCTTGATTGTGGCACTTTAGAGGAACTCTTAGTACTTGGAAGCGTGAATCTGGAGTCTTAACTGTATGATCCAAGTAGTGATAGGCTCAGTACTCAGCCACTCTCCCAGTGGCTGGAAAAATGCAAACAAAAGAAATCCCTCTATAACATCAATAAAATGTTTAAGAAAAAATTAAATAAAATTGTATCTATTCAAGGTGACAACAGGATCTTTTGATATATCATTGTGAAGAGACTGACACAATCCAGTTAATGAATGTATCCATCACCTCACATAGTTACCCTTTGGGTATGTGTGATGAGAGTATTTCACTTACTCTAAGTGAATTTCAAATATACAATACATTATAAACTGTAGTCACCATGCTGTCCATTAGGTCTCCAGAACTTATTCATGTTATAACTGCAAGTTTGTTCTCTTTTTAAAACATCTGACCGGCCGGGCGCGGTGGCTCAAGCCTGTAATCCCAGCACTTTGGGAGGCCGAGGCGGGCGGATCACGAGGTCAGGAGATCGAGACCATCCTGGCTGACACGGTGAAACCCCGTCTCTACTAAAAAAATACAAAAAAAAAAAAAAAAAAAACTAGCCGGGCGAGGTGGCGGGCGCCTGTAGTCCCAGCTACTGGGGAGGCTGAGGCAGGAGAATTGCGTGAACCCGGGAGGCGAAGCCTGCAGTGAGCTGAGATCCGGCCACTGTACTCCAGCCTGGGCGGCAGAGCGAGACTCCGTCTCAAAAAAAAAAAAAAAAAATCTGACCAACATCTCATTTCCCACTCTCGCCACCTGACCTCTGGTGACCACACTTCCACTGTTTCTATGAGTTTGCCTTTTTAAGATTCCACGTTCAATTTCCTATGTTTGTAGTTATTTCTCTTTTTTCATCTCTCTCCTCTCCTCCATCTCCCCGGCGCCATCTCTCTTTCATAAGCATCGTGACTTACCTATAATTCTCCCTACCACTCGAGTTATGGATCAGCTTTACTTTTTTTCTGTTAATTCTTAGCTTCTTTCCGTAAATATATATTTTTTTTTTTCTGGTTTCCTCAACTGAAGTCAAACCAATTGTCTTTTTAAAGTATTGGTGGGCCGGGCGAGGTGGCTCACGCCTGTAATCTTAGCACTTTGGGAGGCCGAGGCGGGCGGATTGCCTGAGCTCAAAAGTTCGAGACCAGCCTGGGCAACACGGTGAAACCCCGTCTCTACTAAAATACAAAAAATTAGCCGGGCGTGGCGGCGGGAGCCTGTAGTCCCAGCTACTCGAGAGGCTGAGGCAGCAGAATTGCTTGAACCCGGGAGGCGGAGGTTGCAGTGGGCCGAGATCGCGCCACTGCACTCCAGCCTGGGCGACAGAGCGAGACTCCGTCTCAAAAAGAACAAAAAAAAAAAAAAAAAAAGAGTATTGGTGGATTCGGTTTCCCTTCATGTTTCTCAGAAAACCGTGTGAGCCAGTTTGGCGTCACTGCGTCTCCAGGCGACAGGCACTTCCGGATGCGGGGCACCCTGGGAAGTTGAGTTCGCGGTGGCTCCGTCCTTCGCGCATGCGCATATGCACTCGTGGCAAAGCTTGCTGGCGGCCCTTTCTTCCTCTTTGTCCTTCGCTGCCACGTGAGAGGGGAGTGTGCGCGTGTGCGCGCGTGCGAGTGTGCTCGTCTGCAGTCCCCTACTCGTCCCGGCCCGTTCGGAGCCGCGGGAGCGCACAAAGGCCGGCGGCTCCGGCGCGTGCGCGGGGCGCGGGACCGGGCGGCATCACGTGATCGCGGGGCCGCGGGCGCGCGTGCTCGAGCGCGACTCGGCGGCGGCGTCTTTTGTGAGTTTAGTGCGTTTAATGCGGGGCCGGCGCTGGGGGCTCCAGGGATGGCGGGGGAGGCGCGCGGGAGTGGCCGCGGAGGGCTTCGGCTTCAAGGTCCTGGACGTCCGCGCGCGGACTCGGGGCTGGGGCGGGGTGGGGCTGGGCCGGCTCGTGAAGATGCCGTGGGCCGCGGAGCCGCGCGGGTTCTGGGCTGTGGGGCGGGCACGGCCTTTCCCGAGGCGCCGCTGCTGGGCGTCCTTTCAGGCGGGCGTGGAGGCGCCGGCGTGGGCCTCGCGTGCGTTCGGCCTCGACAGCGGGCCAGCCCCGTTGCCGAGCCGTGGCCCTGAGGCGCGGCTGCCCTGCTGGACCGCATCCGCCCGCAGCCTGGCTCTGCCGGTGTCGAAAGAGTCTTTTAAAGCACAGGTGTGAGCCACCATGCCTGGCCCTGTATTTTTTAATGGTTACGTTTATTGACTGTTTTACAGTTTTTTAAATTACTTTTGTCTTTTGTATCGTGTGGCGACATCTCCCCTCAAATTATGCATATAATTCACCTGTGGTTTGTTTTTTTTTTTAAGACATTCTTAGGGTTTCCATTATTTTAAAATTTAATCCATCTGGAAGTAGTTGTATGAAATAGCTACCTTTATTTTCTTTCAAATATTCTCGTATTCATTAAATAATTTAGTTTTACTCATGGCTTTGAAGTGCTACATCTATTACATGCTGACTCTGGCATAGACAGTTCTGCTTTTTTCATCTGTGTAACCTCTCTGAAGCCACTGTCAGATGTTATAATTATTATAATTTATATGTATTACAGTAGGCCTGTTCACATTCATTATTTTGTATTTCCAAAAGCGTCCAGGGTATGCCTGTAGCACCAGCTACTCTGTAGGCGGAGGTGGGAGGATCACTTGAGCCCAGGAGTTCAGGGCTGCAGTGAGCTATGGTTATGCCATTGCGCTTCGGCCTGGACAACACAGTAAGACCCTGTCTCAAAAAAAAAAAAAAAAGTGTTCAGACTGTTCTTGAACCTTTTTCCTTACACGTAAACTTCAGAATTTTGAGATTCTGAGTGGAGTTGAACGAGTTATATAAATCATTTGAGGTCAAATTACCTTCACAATATGAAGTCTTCCTATCCCAAAATAAAATCGAATTATAAATTTCTTTAATTCTATTTTTATAGTTTTCATTGGTGTTTTTAGTATGCTTCATATGGATCTTGATATTCCTACATATTTTATGACTTTTTTTCAATTATGAGTTGGATTTTATTTTTTCATTATTTTATATAAGTTGTTGATATCTTACAGAAATAAGGTTATTGACCTGGAAAGATGTTCTTCACATAATGGGAAAAAAACAAAAACAGTTTTTAAATATGACCCTATGCTTCCATTTTATGAAAAATGTCACAATAGTTTCCATCATCTCAAGAATGGTTACCTGTGGTGAGATCATAGATAACAGTTCTTATTTAGCTTGTGTACATTTTTTATGTTTTGCCATCATATTTTACTTTTATAATAATAATTATAGCTAATATATGTTTAGTGTGCCTGTGTGCCAGCTTCCGTTCTAAGATTTATGTATTATCACAATTTAAGGTATAAAGGAGTCATTTCTTGTATAACTGGGAGAAACTGCTGTGTGTTTCTGAGTTGGCACTGAAGTTTGAACCACAAAAAACAAGTTAAAGTGCTGCTTGTTAGTGTGGTACAGGGTTGAGGCAGGCCGTCCTTCATTTGTGTTTTTGTGGGAATTAGTGACTGAATGTGTGCATGGGAATAGGAGCTGACTCCAGGATTTATGTTGTGTGTTTGTACATGTAGATACGCACAAATGATGATATGACTTTAGTAGTACATGCTTTCAATGTAGCAGGATAGAGAATTAACATTTGAATTTTGTTACTTACTAAATGTACAATCACAGGCACATTTTACGATCACTGATTGTCCCAGTTTTCTCTTTGTAAAACGGAGATTATGTTAAACGCCTCATAGGGTTGTGCATAGGGTTGTGCATAAGAGTTACATTTAAAATGCTTAGTATATTGTCTCACATATAGAAAGCACTGGAACGTTAGCTGTAACAGTTATTACAAGGCCCAAGTCGCTTTCCTTTTAATACCTCTTTTGTTTCTTAGACTCCCATTGTGAGGCCCACTTTATCCTCACCATTGTAGCAAATACAGAAATTGAGGCTTTGAAGGCAAGAAAGGAGGGGGAAAAAACAATAACCGCAATAAGCATTAAATGTATTCAATTTGTCAGTTAAAAGACAGACTGTTGGTTTGGATTTTTTTTTTTTTGAGATGAAGTTTCACTTTTGTTGTCCCAGGCTGGAGTCCAGTGGCACAATCTCCACTCGCTGCAACCTCCACCTCCCAGGTTCAAGCAACTCTCCTGCCTCAGCCTCCCAAGTAGCCGAGCTTACAGATAGATTCGTGCCACCACGCCCGGTTTATTTTTGTATTTTTAATAGAGACGGGGTTTCATCATGTTGGTCAGGCTGGTTTCGAACTCCTGACCTCAGGTGATCCATCCGCCTTGGCCTCCCAAAGTGCTGGGATTACAGGTGTGAGCCACCACGCCTGGCCAATTTGGATTTTTTTTTTTTTTTTTTTTTTAAACACCCATACATTTGAGCTCGGAGCTGCTTATAAGGGACAAAGATAATGATGTTGAGATTTTAAGTGTAGTTGAACAGATGATAACATACCAGGTAAATACCAAAAGAATGCTGAAGCCAGTTGTGGTGGTTTATGCCTATAATCCCAGCACTTTGCAGGGCTGAGGCGGGAGGGTCACTTGAGCCTAGGAATTCGAGACTATCCTGGGCAGCATAGTGAGATCCTGTCTCTACCAAAAAAAAAAAAAATACAAAAACAGTTAACTGGGCACGGAGGCACACAAACCTGTAGTCCCAGCTACTTGGGAGGCTGAGGCAGGAGGATCCCTTGAGCCCGGAGTTCAAGGTTGCAGTGAGCTATGATTGTGCCACTGCATGCCAGCCTGGGTGAGGGAGCAAGACCCTACCAAAGAAAAAAAAAGAAAGAATGCTGATGTTGCAGACTTCGTCTAAGATAAAATAGATTTTAAGGCAAAAAGCATTATTTGGGGTATGAAGCATTGTTACACAATGATGTTTTAAAATCCTCTATTTAACCATGACGCATCAAACAATATAGCCATAAGCATATAATCCAAACATCAGCAGAATTATAAGGAAAAACTGACTAATCTAGTCATATTGTGAGATTTTAACCCATTTCCTTCTGAAATGGATAGAATTGACAGACATAAGTTAAGGATATATATATATATATATATTTTTTTTTTTTTTTTGAGACGGAGTCTCGCTCTGTCGCCCAGGCTGGAGTGCAGTGGCCAGATCTCAGCTCACTGCAAGCTCCGCCTCCCGGGTTCCCGCCATTCTCCTGCCTCAGCCTCCCGAGTAGCTGGGACCACAGGTGCCGCCACCTCGCCCGGCTAATTTTTTGTGTTTTTAGTAGAGACGGGGTTTCGCCATGTTAGCCAGGATGGTCTCGATCTCCTGACCTTGTGATCCGCCCGTCTCGGCCTCCCAAAGTGCTGGGATTACAGGCTTGAGCCACTGCGCCCGGCCAAGTTAAGGATATATTAATAGAAGATTTTAATAGGAAACTAGGCTCAGAATGGTGAAATTTGTTTTTGCCAAAAGTCATCTAACTGGTAAAGGAAAAAAGTTGATTGAAACTCAAATCTGTTTTCATACAAATCGTATAAACTGTATTTTCCTAACAGCACCTGTTAGACTGACTTGCATTTCGGCGTTCACAGTGAATATTGAGTGAATCTCACAGTTACTTTATTTCTGATATTTCCTTATCTGTTTGCAGAGACCTAGGCTTCCACTGTTCCATTTTACTATATTCTGTTTCCCTGAGAACCTGTTTCAGTTATATAGCAAGCATACCTCTGGCCTTAGATGATCATTAATTCCAAGTTCCTAGCAAGATAGAAAAAGATTTCATGTGCAATGTGAATATACCAGTTGAAGTACATTTCTCCCAAAGTCCACAGATCCTGGTCCCTACAAATAAGCGTGCTCATGTGAGATAAAAAAGGAGTTGCTGGAACCAGGAATTCATTCTCAGTGTAGAAGACCTAGCCAAGCCCTCTCTCCACAGTTTTGGGGCAGAAGCAGAAGAGACGCACAGTAGAACCCGTCTCAGCCTTGCTGATCATCTCGTACAGCAGCAGAAAATGACCATGTTACAGGTGAGTTGATTGTTTAGTTCTTATTTTTTCCCAGGGAATTAAAAGAGATGTGTAAGCCTTCCAGTGAAAAAGAAAAGTTTAAATAGTTAAGAAATCAGAGGAAAATAGCCTCAGAATAGATGATCAGGATTGGAACAAAATTGGCACAGTGATACATTAACTATTGGACAGATTCTTAGGGTTGAGTATTTACAGCATATTTAAAGCCATAACATCTTACATAATTACTGCATTTGAGCTGCAAACTTTGTTTTCAAATTTTTAGCAGTCGTAATAGAGAAATGTGAGCTTTTATATGCTTTGCATGGTTTAAAGGTAATTGCCCATAGGAAGTAAATATTTCTTGGTTATCAGGTGTTCGTTTATTTTTCCTTGATGAAGTCTTATGAATAAGAGATATGCAGTAGTTCCTCCTTATCTGCAGTTTTGATTTTTGCAGTTTTAATTTCCTAATTTCCCATGGTTTGAAAATATTAAATAGAAAATTTCAGAAATAAGCAATTTGTAAGTTTTGAATTGCTACCTGTTCTGAGAAGCATGATGAACTCTTGCACCGTTCCACCCAGGACCTGCCTCATCCCTTGGTCCAGCAGATGCATGCTGTATATGTTGCTTACCTGTCAGTCACTTGGGAGCCATCTGAGCTGTCAGATCAGCTCATGGTAATACGGTGCTTGTATTTTTGTAGCCCATATTTTACTTAAAATGGCTTCCATACATAAAAGTAGTGATGCTAGTAATTCGGATATATCAAAGAGAAGCTCTAAGTGAAAAGGTGAAAATTCTAAACATAACGAAAAAGGTAGGCTGAGGTTGCTAAGGTCTATGGTAAGAACAAATTTATTCATGAAATTATGAAGAAGGAAAAATAAATACATGCTAATTCTGCTGTCACACCTCACACTGCAGAAGTTACAGTCTCAGTGTGTGGTAACTTTTATTACACTATGTTGTTATAATTGTTCTATTTTATTATTGTTGTTATTTATTTTTTACTGTACCTAATTCATAAACTGAACTTCACCATAGGTATGTATGTGTAGGAAAAGAGCATAGTCTTTATAGGGTTTGGTACTGTCTGGTTTCAGGCATCCACCGGGGTCTTGGAACATCTCCTTTGTGGATAGGTGGGGGCTACTGTGGTGGGTAAATGTTCTCAAGAGAAACGCTAATAAATGCATGAACCTTACGGCATTTTTCATAGCATTCTTCAGAGTATGTCCCAAGGATAGAATGCCAGAGCAGGACTTCGTGACCATAATTATTTACTTTTTACCTTTTTAAACTGTAAGGCCTAATTTACATGCCGAAAAGTACGTTTTAAAAAATACAGTTTGATGAATTATTGTCAGTGGAATATGCATGAAACCACCACTCAGGTCAAGAAATAGAATATTCTTAGCCCAGATGAGTCCCTTCATTGCCCTCTCCCAATTATCACAGCCTCTTCCTCCTGACAGAGGTAACCAGGATCCTTTTTGGTAAACATTTCCTGACTTTATAGTTTTGCTCCTCTCTGCGCATTCTTAAACACTATATTTGATTTTGTCTGCTGTAGGATATGCTCACTTCTGTCTTCTTTCACTTCACATTTTGTGACATTCACTACAATTGCAACTGCAGTCCTTCCTCCAATTGAGGTGGCTTCTTTATTTTTTATTTTGTTTGAGACAGAGTCTCACTCTGTCGCCAGGCTGGAGTGCAATGGTGCAGTCTTGGCTCACCGCAACCTCTGCCTCCCGGGTTCAAGTGATTTTCCTGCCTCAGCCTCCCGAGTAGCTGGGACTACAGGCACCGCTACCACACCCTGGTTAACTTTTTCTGTTTTTAGCAGAGACGGGGTTTCACCGTGTTTGCCAGGATGATCTTGATCTCCTGACTTCGTGATCTGCCCGCCTCGGCCTCCCAAAGTGCTGGGATTACAGGCGGGAGCCACCGCGCCCGGCGAGGTGGCTTCTTGATGTCTAGTCAGTGTTCGCATTTCCAGGTCTCTCGTAACGTTCAGAGGTTGGTGGTTGTTTGTTTGAATCAGAATCCCAGGAAGGTTCATACAATGCAGTTGGTTCATCTGTCTCTTCAATCTCCTTTAATCCGTTGGTTCTTACTTTTTTCTAGCCAAATTATTCGTTAAAGAAGCCAGGTCATTTTTCTGTATAGTTTCCTACTGTGTGGATTTTGCCACTTGCAACAGTGTTGTTAATGTTTGTCACCTGTATTTGGTGGTGTTAATATGTTTGTCATCTGTATTTGCTATAAATAGGTAAATTTAGAGTTGTGCTGTCCAATACAGAAGTCACTGGCCACACAGGACTATTTAAATTTAAATTAATTAAAATTAAATCCCACAGTCACGCTCGCCACATTTCAAAATGCTCAGTAGCCACAAGTTAGATATCCATGAATTGGATAGCGTAGTTAAAGAATATTTCCGTCATCACAGAAAGTTATGTTGGACAGATCTGATCTAGAGGGTTGGTCACATTCAAGTTTAGCTTTTTTGGGCAAGAATGCTTCAGAGGTTGTGGTATGTACTTCTTTCAGAAGACACATGTTTGCTTGTCTTCTGAAAGAAGTTTGCTTGTGGTAACATTTATTTTTTTGAAACGGAGTCTCACTCTGTCACCAGGCCGAGTGCAGTGGCGCAATTTTGGCTCACTGCAGCCTCTGCCTCCTGGATTCAAGTGATTCTCCTGCCTCATCTTCCCGAATAGTTGGGACTACAGATGCACGCTCCCATGCCCAGCTAATTTTTTGTATTTTAGTGGAGACGGGGTTTCACTGTGTTGCCCAGGCTGGTTGCAAACTCCTGAGCTCAGACAATCCTCCTGCCTCGGGCTCCCAAAGTACTGGGATTACAGGTGTGAGCCACTGCACCCGGCCAGCATTTTTTAAATGATCATGGCATAGATGGATTATTTCATTGGGAGTTGCAAAATGGTGGCGTTACTTTGATCATTTCTTCTTGATCAATAAGGCACAGGTTTCATCTTTTTGTCCCAAACCTGCCATTAGTCATTTCTACAGTAAATGGTATCTGAAATTTTGTTATTTGAAAGACTTTTCTTGCTAAAACATGGAAGTACGCTATATTTTGGCATATTGACTTTGTATACAGGAACTTCTTTTTTATTTTTATCTTTTATTTTTTTTTTAGGCAGAGTCTCACTCTGTCGCCCAGGCTGGAGTGCAGTGGCACAGTCTCGGCTCACTGCAACCTCTGCCTCCCGAGTTCAAGCGATTCTCCTGCCTCAGCCTCCTAAGTAGTTGGGACTACAGGTGTGCCACTGCACCCAGCTAATTTTTTTTTTTTTTTAGTAGAGATGGGGTTTCACCATATTGGCAGGCTGGTCTCAAACTCCTGACCTTGTGATCCACCCACCTCGGGCTCCCAAAATGCTGGGATTAAAGGCGTGTGCCACCACACCCGTCCAGGAACTTCTTAAGCTCACTTATTAGTTCTAATGATTTTTCTTTAGATTTGATTAGATTTTTCATAATCACAAAAACATCAGCAATAACTTTTTTTTCTTTTTATTTTAAGAGGTATGGTCTCACTCTGTCACCCAGGATAGAGTGCCTTGGCACAGTCATAGTTCACTGCAGCCTTGAACTCCTGGACTCGAACATGCCTCTCACCTCAGCCTCCCAAGGAGATGGGACTGCAGACACATACTACTAAGTCCAGCTAGTTTAATTTTTTTTTTTTTTTTGGTAGTGACAGGTTCTCACTATATTGCCCAGGCTGGTCTGGAACTCTTGGCCTCAAACAGTTCTCCTGCCTCACCCTATCAAATAGTTGAAATTATAGGCATGAGCCAGCACACCTGGCCAGATCATTTTATTTAAATGTTTGGAAGAATCACCACTAAAACTAGATAGATCTTGCATTTTCTTTGAGGGAAAGTTTTAAATTGTGGGGTCAGTTTCTTTAACTGTTACAGGATTAATTCAGATTTTGTTTCTTCTTGTCACTTTGGGTTCATTGTTTTTCAAAGAATATAGCTATTGGCCGGGTGCAGTGGCTCACACCTGTAATCCCAGCACTTTGGGAGGCTGAGTAGAGCGGATCATGAGGTCAAGAGATTGAGACCATCCTGGCCAACATGGTGAAAGACCATGTCTACTAATAATACAAAAAGTTAGCTGGGCATGGTGGCGGGCGCCTGTAATCCCAGCTACTCGAGAGGCTGAGGCAGGAGAATGAACCCGGGAGGCAGAGCTTGCAATGAGCCGAGATTGTGCCACACTGCACTCCAGCCTGGGCAACATAGCAAGACTCCGTCTCCAAAAAAAAAAAAAAAAGGAATATAGCTATTTCATCTAAGTTGTCAAGTATGTTGGCGCAAGTTTATAATATCTTTTTTTTTTTTTTTTTGGAGACGGAGTCTCGCTGTGTCGCCCAGGCTGGGGTGCAGTGGCCGGATCTCAGCTCACTGCAAGCTCCGCCTCCTGGGTTTACGCCATTCTGCTGCCTCAGCCTCCCAAGTAGCTGGGACTACAGGAGCCCACCACCTCACCCGGCTAGTTTTTTGTATTTTTTAATAGAGACGGGGTTTCACCGTGTTAGCCAGGATAGTCTCGATCTCCTGACCTCGTGATCCGCCCGTCTCAGCCTCCCAAAGTGCTGGGATTACAGGCTTGAGCCACTGTGCCCAGCCTATAATATCTTTTAACAGCCTTATTGAGGTATGACCTCAATAAGATCCTCCATTTTAATGTATAATTCAGTGATTTTTAAGTAAACTTATACTGTATAACCATCATCACAGTCTAGTTTTAGAAGATTTTCCTCACCCCAAAACAATCTTTGTGACATTTTTGGTCAATTCCTTTTCCCACGCCAGCCTAAGACAATAATTTGCTTACTCTCAGCCAGGTGCAGTGGCTCACACCTGTAATCCCAGCACTTTGGGAAGCCGAGGTGGGTGGGTCACCTGATGTCAGGAGTTTGAGACCAGCCTGGCCAACATCGTGAAACCTCGTCTCTACTAAAAATACAAAAATTAGTCAGGCGTGGTAGCAGGTGCCTGTAATCCCAGCTACTCAGGAGGCTGAGGCAGGAGAATTGCTTGAACCTGAGAGGTGGAGGTTGTAGTGAGCCAAGATCAGGCCACTGCACTCCAGCCTGGGTGACAGAATAAGACTGTGTCTGAAAAACAAACAAACAGAAATTAACTGGGTGTGGTGGCATGCACCTGTAGTCCCAGTTTCTCAGAAAGCTGAGGTGGGAGAATCACCTGAGCCTAGGAGGCAGAGGTTACAGCGAGCTATAATTGTGCCACTGCACTCCAGCCTGGGTGACAGAGCAAAACTCTGTCTCAAAAAAGAAAGAAAGAAATTTGCAGTTATCTGAATTGCTGTTCCCTTTAAGTGATGTGATTTTTTTTTTCCTTCTAGCCATGTATGATGTGTCTGGGAGTGGATTTCCTCACTAGCCATGTATGATGTGTCTGGGAGTGGATTTCCTCATGTTTATTGTCTGGCATTGACTGAACTTCTTGAATGTTTTGGTTTATATCTTTTGCCAGTTTTACAGAATATTCAGCTATCATTTCTTGAGACTTTATTTTCACCATGCTCTTTCTTTTCTCTTTCTGGGACTCTATGACACTCACGTTAGATTCTTTGGTATTATTTGATAGTGTCCTGAGCTCTGTTCATTTTTAAGTCATTTTCTCTCTGTTCAAAACTGACAGTTTCTGTAGATCTGTCTTCAAATTCTTTGACTCCTTTTAAAGCGTATCGTGTGCTATTAGGGTCAAATTTATTTTTTGATTTTCCGGTGGCATTCTAGATTTTTAAAAGATGTGTGCTTGTGTTTTCTTTTTATCTTAGGAGACTTTGACACAGAAATCCATCTTGATCCAAAATCTAGTCACCTTTCTAAAATCTGTTTGGTTCTATCATCCCCTTTCTTGTAAGGTGTTTCATGGCTAACTTGGCAACAAGAAAGTGTCCTAGCTAAACTAACCACTTTCTGCCCCAGCCCCCACTGTGGCCTTTAATCTCATCACTATCCCATTCCCTATTATCCTGTCAGACTGATGTTTTTGTATCTCCTCAGTCCTCACAGTTTTTTGTTTTTGTTTTTTAAATCAAAGCTGCTTCTCCCAGAACGCCTTTGCCTCCTCTTTTTTTGTGGAAAACAACTAATTTTCTAAAACCCATTTCAGTTTTACCTTTTGCATAGAGCCTAAGAGTGAAGCGCTCCCTGCTTTTTATCCACACTGTACTCTCCTTTATTTCTTAGTTATTATAAATTTATTTTATTTGTAAGTGCATGTTTGCAGCCCTCTGTAAGACAATGTGACTTTTGAAAGTATTATTTTGTTATCTTCCTTCTTGGCATTTTTGTGTATTGGTTTGTTTTTGAGATGGGGTCTCACTCTGTCTCCCAAGCTGCAGTGCAGTGGTGCAATCACAGCTCACTGAAGCCCCGACCTCCCAGGTCAAGCAGTCTTCCCACCTCAGCCTCCCAAGTAACTGGGACTACTGGCATGTACCACCATATCCAGCTAATATTTATATATATTTTGTGTGGATTCAAGATCTCACTATATTACTCAGTTTGGTCTCAAACTTTTGGGCTCAAGTGATCCTCCCGTGTTGGCCTCCCAAAGTGCTGGGATTATAGTTGTGAGCCCCCTTGCCTATCCTATTTTCTTTCTTTTGCTACTTCCTCTTCCAGTGCCAAATTTGAGGTTCAGTAAATATTTTATTGGTGGTTCAGGGGGTTTAAAGTCTCCTATTCCAGTTTGTGTGTCTTCTGTGAAATCGTCAGAATCAAAATGGAGTCACTAGTGTGAATTTTTTTTTTTTTTTAACCCCGACAGGTAGAGCTGGGGAAGCCTGTGAAAAGAGTATTCTCACACTTGCAGGCCTGATAAAAATTATCACAAAAGACTGCAAAAGCCACAGCCTTGTACAAAGGCCATTGAAGCCTTACACAAAAATACTTTTATTGGGACATCTGCCCAGCAGCTGCCTGTCCAGCTTTGGACTGGTGTCACCCTTATTATTGATCTTTGTAGCCAGGGAGAACTGTTTCAGAACAATTACGTGATGCACCTCTTTTTTTTTGTTTTGTTTTTTGTTTTGAGACGGAGTCTCGCTCTGTCGCCCAGGCTGGAGTGCAGTGGCTGGATCTCAGCTCACTGCAAGCTCCGCCTCCCGGGTTTACGCCATTCTCCTGCCTCAGCCTCCCGAGTAGCTGGGACTACAGGCGCCCGCCACCACGCCCGGCTAATTTTTTGTATTTTTTTTTAGTAGAGACGGGGTTTCACCGTGTTAGCCAGGATGGTCTTGATCTCCTGACCTCGTGATCCGCCCATCTCGGCCTCCCAAAGTGCTGGGATTACAGGCTTGAGCCACCGCGCCCGGCCACACCTCATTTTTTTCGTTTAAAAACTTTCGTCTTTCTTCCCATCCAAGTAATAACCAGGCCCGACCCTGCTTAGTTTCCGAGACCGGGCGCATTGAGGGTGGTATGACTGTAGACACCTTTGTCTTTCTTTACTTCCCTGAATACACATGTAGTTTACTGTGGCACGTGTCTTCCCATGGCAGTACTCTGTTCCCAAATAAACATAATTTTCTTCTGGAGAGCCTCTCTCTTTATTCTTCAGGTTAACAGTTGTATAAATGGAAGGATGGAAGAATGCACAATGACATTTTATCACACAAAATATGCAAAGGTAGGGACATGGCATTTTGTATAACTTGTTATGAGAATAAAGTGCTCAAACTCCAATATTTTTTTCTCACATCAGACAGTGTTAACTGCTTCAGGTTTACTAGCATTGTGCTCTTACAGGAGTCATTCTCATTTGATGATTTATCTGTGGACTTCACCCAAAAAGAGTGGCAGCTCCTGGATCCCTCTCAGAAGAATTTATACAAGGATGTGATGTTGGAGAACTATAGCAGCCTAGTGTCACTGGGTAATAAAAGCTTTCTTGAGTATCTCGGACCATGCCCAATGCATTGCCTTTTATTTTTAGTTGCTGGGAAGTTTCAGAAGCCTGTAGTTAGGCTTCTGAAATTTTTAATGATTTTAGACCTGAAATTTAGATCACAGTTGCTTGGACTATGACACCAAGAAAGTATTTGGGTCTCACCTTTCAATAATGAAGTCGTAAGTTTGTTATGCAGCCTCTGAAACTTAAGTAGTAATAGTTTGAGTAATAGTTTGAGCAGTAGTGGTAGCACCTAATGCATGTAACTTACTGTATACCACATCTTATACCACGTGCTTTACATATATCAACTCATTTAATCATCAGAGATTATGTGGCTAGTACCGTTATCCATTTTTCCTGATGAGAAAATCAAGGCCAAGAGAGGTTAAGTAACTTTCCCAAGAACTGACAACTATTAAATTAAAGAGCCTGGATGTAAACCCAGGCTTGCTGGCTCCAGAGCCTCTAAAGTGTTCAGTGGCGCTTTGTACTAGACCCTATTAGCCACCAGGGAGACTGTTACTGTAACTTTGAGAATTACTTACTCTGTTGAGGTACAGCTTTATCAGGCCAACTGTGATGTGAAACCTTGCTCATCTTCAGAGGCCCTAAACCCCAAGCATTTGGGCCCAAGGCCTTTGTAATTTTTCCCTTAACAGGGTATGAAGTTATGAAACCAGATGTCATCTTCAAATTGGAGCAAGGAGAAGAGCCATGGGTAGGAGATGGAGAAATTCCAAGTTCAGATTCTCCAGGTGAGTGTGTGAGAACCAGGCAGATGGGAGAAAGCGGAAGTCCCGTGTCATCTGGTCACTGATGGGTTGGCCTCTCTGAAATGTGCTTTAGGGATCTCTTTCCAAAATCTCTAAACCTTCGGTGGTACCTCAGAACAACTGACATTAGCTACTCAAGTAAGTCACATTTAGACGTAGCTTCTTTATAGCTTAAAATGAAATGTGTCCTGCTTATCTTGGCCATGACGTTATTCTCTGTGACATCTAGGACCTTGACTTCTTGTTTGGTATTCTGTCCTCACATGTTTAATCCCTTTCAGTCCCTGCTTCCCCTGTGGTCAAAGACACCTCCGTTTGTCCATTGAAGCATCTCGATTTTGTCTTCAATTTGGGTATCTCTGATGCCCAAAAGACCACCCTCCAAAGCCCCAGTCTGTTCAGTCTCATTATATTAGAAAATGGAGCCATTATTTCTCCCAATTTATCCTTATCCTCCCTTTTAAATTAGGTTCCTTTGTGTTTTTTTCCTGCAGATTAGACACCATGAAGTATATGAATAATCCCTTTCCTTTTTTTTTTTTTTTTTTGAGACGGAGTCTCGTTAAGGTCACCCAGACTGGAGTGCAATGGTGCGATCTCAGCTCACTACTCCACCTCCTGGGTTCAAGCGATTCTCCTGCCTCAGCCTTCCCAGCAGCTGGGACTACAGGCACATGCCACCCCGCCCGGCCAATTTTTTTTTATTTTTAGTGGAGACGGGGTTTCACCATGTTGGCCAGGCTGGTCTCAAACTCCTGACCTCGTGATTCGCCTGCTTCGGCCTCCAAAGTGCTGGGATTACAGGTGTAAACCACTGCACATGGCTGAATAACGCCTTTCAACCATCCTTTCATGTTGTTTTAAATTTTTTTTCTGTTGGGAAAGTATCTTTTTAAAGCCTTCCTTCCTCAGCTTCCACTTAAAACCAGGTCCGTGATATCCCATTTTTGAAGTTGTCAAATTGCTAGATAGATCCAGTTTTTAATATTTTACAAGCTACCTTAATGATGCCACCATATTTTATTTCCTAAAGCTTCCCACACTACTCTAATCAGTTGAACCTCTTTACTCATTATCTGCTTTGTGACATTGACTTACTTCAGGTTCCCTCCAAAGCAGACCCTCAGATACTTATGTGAGTGTAAGAACTTATTGGGGACGTGGTCCCCACAAATGTAGTGAGAGAATGGACAAGTCAGACCATGGAAGTGCTGGGGGCATTAATGCCAGTGAAGGGTGGGCTGATGCTCTGACTACTGCTGTGGGTAGTGGATGCTCAGTTCTGCTGAGTGCCTCTGAGGCACTGTGAGAATATTCCTCAGTCTTGACACTCTGAGGTACCAGGAAACCCAGGTATTTATGTACTAACTCCCATCTCTCATCTTGAGGTTTCCTCTGCCACAGTAAGTATCCAGAATGTCCAGGGTCCCTTCATACAGACTAGTCTTGTGCTTTCAGCTCGAGAAGGTTCTTGGGTAGAGAGTCGTGAGTGCCTCCGGTAGGAATCTGGTCAGCGTATGGGTGGGGCGGTGGCAGCATCTGCTACAGACTTGTAATCTTTGCTTTCAAGGACCTCCATAGTATGACACTATTGCTGCCTGTTCAGTTATTTCTTCCTTCCCCCCATTCATGGTCAGTTCCATTTAAACATTTCTCAAGTGTTTTCAGATATGTAATGTCTTGAACTTTTGAGGGTATTATACTAGTGACCTAGAAATTCTTAATCCTTTCCATAGGAACTTGGTTTTCACTGCATTCATATTTATGAAATGTTCCTTGACTACCCCAGCCTAAATTTTTCTCAGCTTTTGCTGAAGTCCCATCTGTGACCTGATCATAGTATGTATAATATTTTTTAGAACGTTGGTCCCTGAGCTTTGTTCGCACACATGGATGCAGGGGCTTATAATTAAATGTCTTCACTTTAGTTATAGAACGTGTAATATTTGATAAATTTCTTTCCAAAAGCCTTGTGTTTGTTTTTATAGACAGGGTCTTGGTCTGTTGCCCAGGTTGCAGTGTGGTGGCATGATCATAGGTCACTGCAGCCTCAAATTCCTGGGCTAAAGTGATCCTCTTGCTTCAGCCTCCTAAGTAGATGGGACTACAGGTGTGTGCCACCATGCCTGGTTTTTGTTTTGTTTTGTTTTGTTTTTTGTTTTTTTGTTTTGTTTTATGTGGTAAGACTGGGATTTGTAATTTGAGAAACTTCTTGTCGTTTTTATGTGCCCTTTTTAGTTGAGATCCACTCACCCAGTGGGGTTAATCCTTTACTGAAAAGGATTACAAAGACAGACCAGAAAATAAGTTCCAGAAACATAGGAGTTAAGAAGATGAGACATTTGTGTTCTTTTTTAAAAAAAATTCAGCACGTAAACACTGAACATTTGTTTTATTGCAAGGCAGTGGAGAGCTAATTATCAAGATTACACAAATGGGGACTGTGTGTCAGGGTCTCCAAGATCCCCCCATGTTCAGAGTCACTAGAAGGACTCACTGGACTCAGCATATTTGTACTTATGACTAAGATTTATTACAGTGGCACTATAAGGACACAGCTGGATCACAAGTGAAAAAGGCACAGGCAGAGTCTGAAAGAACCCATTTGCAGGCGTCCTAAGCTCCCTCCTTCCCGTAAGGGTCAAAGTTTACTATCCCCCTGCAGCAAAAATATAGTAACACGTGTGTTTGATGTTTCTGCCCAGGAAAGACCATTAGAGATAAGTGCCCAAGGTCTTTACTGGGAGCTGGTCCTATAGGTATTCTCTGCCTAACAGGTGCTGATCATACTGTTTGTATACAGTCTTAGCATAGTAATTATCAGTTAGGAAATAGTAGGGACATTCCTGAAACCCATGTTCTCAGATGCCAGCCGAGGGCCAGTCTTGCAAACAGGGCTTTCTATGGATGGTAGTTTCGGGCCTGAAGCTCTTTTCTACACAGACTACTTCAGAGAAAATAGAGTATTTATTGACTTCTTTTATTTTTAAGTTACTGTGCTAGGTACTGTGGGTATAATAGAGCATTAGAGATATATATTTCCTGCTGACATAGTGTTTACTTGCTAGAGGACAAAAAAAGAACAGGGTAGTAAGTAAGCAGGAAAAAATTCAGATCCTGCTAAGTGTTATTACAGAAATAAATTAGGTGAGAGAATGGGTTAGTCTGCTCAGTCTGCCATAACAAAATATCATATTCTGGGGAGCTTAAACAACAGAAATTGGTTTTCCAGTTTTGGAGATGGAAAGTCCAAGGTCAAGGTACCAGCATGGTTGTTTTCTGGGGAGGGCTCTTCCTGCCTTGTGAAGAGCCACCCTCTCACTATGTGTTCACATGGCCTTTCCCCAGTGTGTACATGGAGAGAGAGAAAGAGATAGATAGATATAGATGGATCTCTTGTGGGGTTTCTTTTTTCTTTTTCCTTTTTCGAGACAAGGTCTCACTCACCCAGCCTGGAGTGCAGTGGCACAATCATGGGTCACTGCAGCCTTGACCTCCTGGGCTCAAGTGAGCCTCCCAAGCATCTGGGACTACAGGTGTGCATCACCACACCTAGCTAATTAAAAACAGGTTTTTTTTTTTTTTGTACAGACACAGTTTCATCTGTGTTGCCCAGGCTGCTCTCAAACTCTGGGACTCAAGTAATCTGTCTGCCTCAGCCTCCCAAAGTGCTGAGATTACAGAGGTGGGCCACTGCCTGGCCTCATATCTATTTTTGTAAAGATGATAACCCTGTTTGATCAGGGTCCTACCCTTATGACCTCATTTAATCTTACTTCCTTAGAGGTCCTATCTCCAAATGCAGCCGTTCTGGAAGTTCTTCAGTGTACAATTTTTGAGGAGATACATTTAGTCCATAACAGAGAAAGACATGGGAAAACTAATTGTAGACATGAAAGATGTGAAATGAGCATGGGAAAGAGTGTCTCCAAAAGGAATGACAAATAAGAATATGTTAAGTCAGAAAATGGTTTAGTTACTTTTAGAAACAGAATGGAAGCCCATGTGGCTGAGGTCAGTATGCCCGAGAGATGCAGATAAGTTGGAGAGAGTATGGGAACTAGATCATATCTCAACTTGTAGGCAACACAATGGAGTTATAAGCGAGTCAAGAAATTTTGAAAAGTAAAATCTGATTTAGAATTGTGAAAGTTTATTCTCACTGCCAAGTAGAAAATGTAATTGGAAGCAGGGAAACCAATTAGCAGGGTATTTCATTGAGATAATGTGATAGTTTAGAATACAGCAGAGAAAGTGATGGAGAGAGTGGGACTATTTGGGATATACCACAAATGACCAAATATAAGGCAATTACATTTTTCTAATAGGAAAAAAAATAAAGATGGGGGAAGGCAGATGTAAATTTAAAACACATACTTAAGTATTAATAGTTCAATAATTTAATAACATTTAAAATAACATGAATGTAAGTTTAATTTATAAATGTTTCATTTTCTGCACCCATATTTTCTGATACCATTTTGTCGAAACTTCACATACATCTCAAAATTAATATGTTAGGCCTAACACAGTGTCAATTGTGGGGGCCTGCACCTGTAATCCCAGCAACTTGGGAAGCTGAAGTGGAAGGACTACTTGAGCCTAGGAGTTTGAAACCAGCCTGAGCAACATGGTGAGATCCCATCTCTACAAAAAATTCTAAAAATTATCTTGAGCATGGTGGCATGCACCTGTAGTCCCAGCTACTCAGGAGGCTTAGTTGGGAGGATCAGTTGAGCCCAGGAGTTCAAGGCTGCAGTGAGCTATAATTGCACCACTAAACTCCAGCCTGAGTGACAGGGCAAGACCCTGTCTCAAAAAACAGAATTAATATGTTTATAGTGGAGTCTTGATTTGAACCCATGTATTTCTCCCTCAGTTTTCCTTAATGCATTAACACCATAATCTACCAAATTGTTCAAACTCCAAACCTAAGGGTAATTCTAGATTCTCTTTTTTCCTTTATTTTCTCCATACCAAATACATCAGCAAATCTTATTGATTCTACCTCCACCATATAATTCTACAAATATATTACCTTCAGTTGACATTTAAATTTGTAGAATGTTTTCACATTACTGATTATCTTTCTTACCTCTAGGTACAACCTCACAAAAAATTTGAAATATAGATTTTTGTTGAAAAATGGGCCCAGCATGTTGACTCATGCCTGAAACCCCAACACTCTGGGAGAGACCAAGTCTCTTACTGGTTTGGGAGGCTAAAGTGGGAGAATTGCTCGAGCCCAGGAGTTCAAGAGCAGCCTGAACAACATAGGGAGACCCCATCTCTACAAGAACAACAAAATTAGCCAGCCATAGTGGTTGTACACCTGTGTATTCTGGCTACTTGGGAGGCTTATGTAGGAGGATCTCTTGAGCCTCGAGGTTGAGGCTGCATCACAACACTACGCTTCAATCTGGTCAACAGAGCAAGACCCTGTCTCAAAAAATACATATTTTGAAGTTCACTTATAATAGTATAAATGGTTATATCATGAGGATAATGGAAATAGAGCTATATAACAACTGACTGTCAAACTGTCAGATTATTTTTAGAATGGGAACTTGGGTCTTGGGATGGTTTTAGTGAAAGTACACGTGGATTTTAAAGTTCTGTGCCTGAATAGTTTAGATGAAAGATGATATGGTTTGGAAAATGTGTTGCATAAGTGGCTTTCTTAATAGCAACGTGAAGATGCATATGGCAAGCTTAAATAAAACTTTAGAATGAGAACCAATATGCAAAATATTTCTCATTCTTTAAGCTTGAAATGACTACCTAATTTTTCTTTCAAATATGTTCATTTTCTTCTTAGTATTTACTACAGTGTACAGTTTTGTTTTAAAAATATTATTTCTTTATCTTTTCCATTACAATGTAAATTTTATAATAACAAGAGCTTATTTTTTCTTTTGTGTCTCTATACCTCACACACTACCTGGGCATAGTATATACTCAGAAAGTATTGAGTGAATTAATTACTCAAAACATTGGGTCAAAGCTTCTTCCAACCTTTTTTCTTTGCTTTTCATTGCTTTTCATGTGTTTTTTACATTCTCCATTTAATAAACATATTTGTCAACAACCAAAGGTGACTTAATCTCCAGTCAGTTTCCTGTTTCTGTTTTGAGTAGTTCCTTGCAATACCTAGAAGATTGTTATTATACTTGGGACTTACTTCAGACTAGGAAACTAAGCCTTAAAAGCAGCCAACCCCTCAACATAGCATTTCTAGTTTTTTTTTTTTTTTTTAGAAAGCACAACCAAACATTTTTTTTTTTTCCTTTATAGAAGTCTGGAATGTAAATGGTAACATGATGTGGCACCAGGATAACCAAGACAAGCTTAAAATTATAAAAAGAGGTCATGAATGTGATGCATTTGGAAAAAATTTCAATCTGAACATGAACTTTGTTCCTTTAAGGAAATCAAACAACGAAGGTGACTTAGATGGATTGATTTTAAAACATCATTTAGATTTGCTTATTCCAAAAGGAGATTATGGAAAAGCAGAATCAGATGACTTTAATGTGTTTGATAATTTTTTTCTCCATTCCAAGCCTGAGGATACTGATACCTGGTTAAAGTACTATGACTGTGATAAATATAAAGAGAGCTATAAAAAGTCACAGATTATCATATATCATAGAAATCGTTTAGGGGAGAAACTCTATGAATGCAGTGAATGTAGGAAGCGCTTCAGTAAGAAACCAAGTCTCATTAAACATCAAAGCAGACATATAAGAGACATAGCCTTTGGCTGTGGTAATTGTGGCAAAACCTTTCCCCAGAAGTCTCAGTTTATTACACATCACAGAACTCATACAGGAGAAAAACCTTATAATTGTAGCCAGTGTGGTAAAGCCTTCTCCCAAAAGTCACAGCTCACATCCCATCAGCGGACACATACAGGAGAGAAACCGTATGAATGTGGCGAATGTGGGAAAGCCTTCTCCCGGAAGTCACATCTCATATCGCATTGGAGAACACACACAGGAGAGAAACCCTATGGATGCAGTGAATGTGGGAGGGCCTTTAGTGAAAAGTCCAATCTCATTAACCATCAGAGAATTCATACCGGTGAGAAACCTTTTGAATGCAGGGAATGTGGGAAAGCCTTCAGCAGGAAGTCACAACTCGTTACACATCACAGAACTCACACAGGAACAAAACCCTTTGGATGTAGTGATTGTAGAAAAGCTTTCTTTGAGAAGTCAGAGCTTATTAGACATCAGACAATTCATACTGGAGAGAAACCCTATGAATGCAGCGAGTGTAGGAAAGCATTTAGAGAGAGGTCCAGTCTCATTAATCATCAGAGAACCCACACAGGAGAGAAACCTCATGGATGCATTCAGTGTGGGAAGGCCTTCTCCCAGAAGTCACATCTCATATCGCATCAGATGACACACACAGGAGAAAAACCCTTTATATGCAGTAAATGTGGGAAAGCCTTCAGCAGGAAATCACAGCTCGTTAGACATCAGAGAACTCATACGGGAGAAAAACCGTATGAATGCAGTGAGTGTGGGAAAGCTTTCAGTGAAAAATTAAGTCTCACTAATCATCAGAGAATTCATACAGGAGAGAAACCATATGTATGCAGTGAATGTGGGAAAGCCTTTTGTCAGAAGTCACATCTCATATCACATCAGAGGACACATACAGGGGAGAAACCCTATGAATGCACTGAATGTGGGAAGGCCTTTGGTGAGAAGTCAAGTCTTGCAACTCATCAGAGAACTCATACTGGAGAAAAACCGTATGAATGCAGGGACTGTGAAAAAGCTTTCTCCCAGAAATCACAGCTAAATACCCATCAGAGAATTCACACTGGAGAGAAACCCTATGAATGCAGTCTTTGTAGGAAAGCTTTTTTTGAGAAGTCGGAGCTAATTAGACATCTGAGAACTCATACAGGAGAAAAACCTTACGAATGCAATGAATGTAGAAAAGCCTTCAGGGAGAAGTCAAGTCTCATCAATCATCAGAGAATACATACAGGAGAGAAGCCTTTTGAATGCAGTGAGTGTGGCAAAGCTTTCTCTCGGAAGTCCCACCTTATACCACATCAAAGGACACATACAGGTGAGAAACCCTACGGATGCAGTGAATGTAGGAAGGCCTTCTCTCAGAAATCACAGCTGGTTAATCATCAGAGAATTCATACAGGAGAGAAGCCTTATCAATGCATTGAATGTGGGAAAGCTTTTTCACAGAAGTCACAGCTCATCAATCATCAGAGAACTCATACAGTAAAAAAATCCTAGAAATACAGTTAATAGTAGTCTTTGACAGATCATCTTGGACTTCAGAAAATGCAATTATGATAACATTTTTAGACAGTCACATTGTGTTATGTGTCTGCACTCCTTGAGGGTGAGAACTCTAAATGAGATGGTGTATGGAAAGCTGATCTTAATTCAGAGTGAACCTATGAATGCAGTGCATCTCAACAACTTTTCAAACCATAGTGAAGCCTTACAGAGTAGAACATTCACAGCAAAGAAGAATCGTGTGAATATCAAAAAGCCTTCCAGAAGTCAAGTCTCCTAAGCTATTAGACATATTCCCACTGGAGATGAGGGAAAACCCCATGAATGCAGGAAATGAGGCAATATTTTTAAGAAATGACAGTTCATTGTACATAAGGAAATGCCCTTAGGAATGAAGTTCTATGAAACTACTAAATATGGGATAGTGCAACAAGTAACCAAACTATTTTGTATTTTGGAGAATTCATATTATGGAGAATCTAACAATTTAAAGACACTGGGAACACTTGCCCCTCAGTATAGTACTGGCAAGGGAAGCCATACACTTTTTGTAGACGTGGGTACCAAAAATACCCAATTCTAAGTGGTTGACAGTTGTTCACTTTGAAGTGTGAAGTTTTAAAAATATGTGAATAAAATTATGTGAATAAATTGGCCATTGAAACATCTAAGAAATTTCTTAGTGGTATTTGTGGCTTATCTTCTAGTGTCACATATGTTTTGCGTTTTGAACTGACATATAATTTAATGTAATTGGGATTATGAAATGCATATGCCTTATAGTGCCTCTGATGTCTGTGAAGACACACTACACACCACTGGTTTTTATTTTTTAACAATAATATAGAGAATGGAAAGTCATGTAACATGGCTACATTAATAAGTACCTTGAGTGATAACCCATTTCTTTTTCCTTATTATAGACATACATAAGGGGTCTTTTGTTTTTACTGACCTTTCTATTCAGTAACTGAAGCCAACATTATATAAGTCTTCTGCATCCTCAGAGTCTGAGTAACAGTTTATATAAAATAAATATGCAAAGGCAGGAACCACAGAATAACCATAGTAATATATAACTGAATTAGCAAAATAAAGATATTTGAACTACATTACAACACCCAAACTAAATGAAATAAAGTAGTGCTGTATCAAATCTTTTTCTCATTTAGTGAGATGTCTCCATGTATTTTTTATATATATATATATGTATCTTAAGTGATATGTAACCCAAATACCACTATTTTAATTTACTGTGATAAAGTATGGATATTTTGTGCTGCTATTATGCTTTTTGTGTTGCATAAAATATCTTGTAAAATTTAGATGAATAAATGAATTATTAAAAAATCACATTTCTGAAGATGTAAAGTATTAGGGAATTTTATGCTGGAAAAACATTTCTGACATTCAAGGAAGCCTATTTTCTAGCAAATTTCTGTGGTCACTGGAAAAGTACATATGATCCTGAACTTACAATGGGGTTACATCCCAATAAACCCATTGTAAGTTGAAATTATTGTAAGTCGAAAATGCATTTAATACACCCAACCTACCAAACATCATAGCTTAGCCTAGCCTACCTTAAACATTCTCAGAACACATTCTAATGCATCGTCTATTTTATCAAAAGGTGTTGAATATCTGATGTAATTATTGAATACTGAAAGTGAAAAATAGTAGTTGTATGGATACCATTGTAATGTTGAGAAACTGTAAGTCACATCCTCTTAAGTCAGGAACTATCTGTATTAGGAAACAAGATTTCCATTTTATCATTTGAAACGTATTTGACTCTTTCCCTAGTTGCATTATCCCCATGGAAAACTTCACATTGAGAACTTAACATTATTTAAGTATACTTCCATAAAAATGCATGAACCATCCCTTAGCTAAGTAAGGATTTTGTAATGTTCTCTCAATGTTGCTTGACAAAGTTAATATTTTTTTGTATGCTGATGAAATTTAGAAAAGTCCAATATTGAGCTTGATTGCAAACTTACAAAAAATCAAGGCTTCACCTTTTATGTTCAAATTGTTGTATCAGTATGGTATTTTGCACCTTTACCATGAACAGTATTTTCTTCTTTAATTATTGATTTTGCAACATTTTGGGAAAGTTGGAATTTTAAATAATTTTCTAAACCAGCATACCAGTTCAACAGCCAAATAATTCTGTCTTTCTGTGCTGTAATTTTAAAGCATCTAATTTTCCAACTTTTTATTCATACTCAAGTGTATGAACTTCCTGGCTGGGCATGGTGGCTCACGCCTGTAATCCCAGCACTTTGGGAGGCTGAGGAGGGTGGATCACTTGAGGTCAGGAATTCAAGACCAACATGTTCATGGCCAACATGGTGAAACCCTGTCTTTACTAAAAATTGGCTGGGCGTGGTGGCTCATGCCTGTAGTCCAAGCACTTTGGGAGGCCAAGGCAGGTGGATCTAGAGGTCAGGAGATCGAGACCATCCTGGCTAACATGGCGATACCCCATCTCTACTAAAAATACAAAAAATTAGCCAGGCATGGTGGCAGGCGCCTGTAGTCCCAGCTACTCGGGAGGCTGAGGCAGGAGAATGGTGTGAACCCGGGAGGCAGAGTTTGCAGTGAGCCGAGATCGTGCCACTGCACTCCAACCTGGGTGACAGAGCAAGACTCCATCTCAAAAAAAAAAAAAATTAGCTGGGTGTGGTGGCATGTGCCTGTAATCCCAGTTACTTGGGAGGCTGAGGCAGGAGAATCACTTGAACCCGAGAGGTGGAGGTTGCAGTGAGCCAAGATGGCACCACTGCACTCCAGCCTGGGCAACAGAGCTAGACTGTGTCTCAAAAAAAAAAAAAAAAAAAAAAAACTTCCTACTTTTTAATATCTCAAAGTCATTTTACTAGATATGGGAGACCAACTAATGCAAATGAACAGTTAGAAGGTGGTGATGTGCTTTGTGATTTTTGCCCTATTTTTTTCTTTCCATCTATTATCATTCTCTGTCCAATCCCAGAGACTGATTCATTAGGTCTTGGAAATTCTAGATTATTCTATTAACTGTTAAGCAGTTAAACCTGATACTTCCTACACTCGATAACGGAACTTCAACATTAACCTATTGATTGAATGCCCAAGAACAAAGATTTTTTCTAAACATCAGGTGTTATGGGGAGGATTGACGCTGACAATAGAGGTCTAGTTAAGAACTGATGCAGAGGTTCAAATACATTGTGCAGTAGTCACTAGAACTCACCTTCTAAAGTGTCATGAGAGCTCTGATTCTGAAATTAGAGATTTTTTAGTGTGTTTTTGAAATTACTTTGTAAACCACAAAATTATGTCTCTGCATTGTCCCTTATTGGTTCCTACCACAGATTCTACATCAAGAAGAAAGTTTTAGAGTGGATTTATTTTTGATTTTATGGAGCACAATAAGGTACCTTGAGATAGCATACTAAGGGAGGCCAAATACAGGAAGCATCCCCTTTTCTTGTTTTCTTACTGCCCAGATTTTCCCACTGACCTGGAATTGCGCACAGTTCTACAAAGGATAATTTACATTGTTTTCCTTTTACTAAGTAGTGGGTTTTCCTTAAGGTCCAGACTGAATTTTGAGGCCTGTACCAGGATTGCCTTCTGTGTAGCTTTTCCTTGCAGGATCTGGCATCATTATCTATGGGTCCATATATTTGTGATACTTTGGTTTCAGGAACATCTCTTTTAGAATGTTGACATAAAATGCACCCACAGAATGCCAGATTTATCAAAAGTAATTTTCTAGCAAAATCTACAGCAGTGGCATTTGGAATCTACATTTGAGACCACCTCAGTCATTCCAGCAGTCTATGTCCAGGTTGTCAATTTCAGAGGTCTTATTAATGGCTATACAGGTACCAATAAGCTTTCAGATGCTCAACACCTACCCCTGGCCTAGCTGCTGATAAACTTAACCAATCAACCCTTGCAGATGCATGCATGTTTTCTGCACCTTGCTATCATTTTTCGGCCCATTTTTCACATGTATACATAGTGATTATTTTTAAATGCAACCCTGATTACACATGCCTCGTTGAAATATCGTGTGGCTTATTGTGGACTTAAAGTGTAATATTCTCCTTACGGTATACAAGGACTTTTGTACAAACCAATGCCTATCTATCCACTGTCATTTCTGAAAACTTTTCCTCCTATGCAATATTTTCTGGCCTCTGTGAACAACTTGTAGTTCCTTGAGATTTCTATTATTGCATTACGTTTTTGCAAATCTGCAATTGAAATGCCCTTGTTCCTTGTTAATGCCTATTGAATCTATATGAACCTGTACGTGTGTTTCTCACTGTGATAATATAACCATTGCATGTTTTATCTTTTCCACTAGAAAGTTTCTAGAAAGCTAGGACTATCTTTCTGTCTGTGTAATTTTAGCATCACAAGGTATATTTAAATGTGGGTGCAGTGAGTGGCTGTTTTCTGCCACATGGAGAAACATGGTCTGCAGTGAGAGAGAAGAACGAAGCCATCATAGAAGCAAAATCAAGAAAGCGTCCTGATTGTGTTCCAGTACCTGGTTCTTCTGGTCTTCGTGTCCAGGTCCACCTCTGCCCTTTTCATGCCTTGATTGTTGAATTCTTCTGTGAGATACTCCAAATATCCTAATAAATTCTCATGTTTGCTTCATCTGGCTCAAGTTGTGTTTGTTACAACCCAAATATTTCTAACAGGAAATCAGGCTATGTCGTAACTTGTTCTCTGGATGTGGTTACTGAGAAGTTTGGGTGCAAGATGTCTATTGAGGATCAACAGCTGTGAAATGATCGAAGAAGTAAGAAAACATTGAGCTGAGGAAGAATTCAAATTGCACTGCATTGGAGCGAGCAGGGAACTCTGGAACATGTACTGCCCATTGGAGTGCCTCGTGTTGAACCAAGATGGCCAGGCCTTTATAACCCTGTGTTGCTCACCCCATCACCCAGACTCAGGCTGCCCTGGGAAGGAAGCAACCTTAGGTGAAGCAGCTCTTTTCTTAGGTGATGTTGCTCTTTTCTTAGGTGAAGCAGCTCATTTCAGCTGAGGCCAGCTTCACAAGTGGAGGCTCTCTGCTGATGACTCTCCCTGCCCTGGGCAAGTCCCACCTTGAGAAGAGATCTGAGTCATGATGCATGTTTATGATCACACAGTCCATCCTTCCCACCGCTTAGATCCCCTTGTCTGTGTTACATTTGGGAAGCTGCTGCTCTAGGATTCTGGTGGGGCTCTCTGAGGAGAGACTAAGAGAAGGAATATTTGTAGGACAAACCACAGCCCCTAATGTTGCAGTTGCTGTCTGTATTATTCGCTGTAGATTCTCATCACACTGTTAGCACCTCTGTGGACATAAGTGACTTTCGTGGTAGCTTGTCCCAGACCCTTATTCCTGAGGGGGTCAGAGCCCTGTTCACCATGTCCTTTTCAGATCCAAGTTGCTGTATTTGTCCATTTACATCACAATAGGGCAAGGAAGTTCAAAGAGGCACCTAGGTGGACCACCTGAGTGCCACTCCTTTTTTCTCCTGCCCTGTTGTGTAAGCAGCCATACCTTCTGATGATCAGTGTCAATGCCCCAGCAAAGAGTGGCTTTTCTGGCATGCTGGTCCCTGGACACAAGGGTACAAAGTTCCATGTGTATCTGTAGTTTGTAATTTAGAACACTC